TGACATATACAGGTGACACAGTTTTACAAAAATACTTACCAATTAAAAAGATACAAAACAATAATACATTGTTCAAATCAATAGGAGAGTGGCTCGAAGACCAGAGCACACTGAATTCAAAGGAAGATGAAAACATGGATTTCAGAGGATAGAGAAATGAAGGCAATTTATAGTAATCCAAAAGGAAAAGCTACAAAAAGAGACCTAGAAAGTCTTAATAAAGCCAGAATTACAAAGGTTTCCTACCATAACAAAAATAAATAGACAGACACATCCAAATAAAAGATACAATATTCACACACACATGCACTATGGAGAAAAACTGTTTTTTAGGCACTATTTCACTGCAACTGGAGAAATCATCATTTCTCTATATCCGATGCATAGAAAAATGGGGGACAAACAAAAAGAAGTCCAGACTCGGATTCTTTGCCAGACGTTTCAACAAAAACTATTTTTCTTAATAATATACCAGTGGTGGCGAACCTATGGCACGGGTGCCAGAGGCGGCACCCAGAGCCCTCTCTGTGGGCACATGCGCCGTTGCCCCAGTCCTAGGCCTTTAGCTGGGTTTTATAAAACCTTTTTGCTTTAGGCCTCCGCTGCCGTGTGCAAAAAAAAAAAGGTTCAATCAGTCAATTTCAACTTCTCGCGGGGAAAAAAAAGGTCTTGCAAAGTTGGAATTGATTGATTGAACTTTTTAGTCTCACCCAGTCTGCCATTACCACTGCAGCCACGCCCACCAAATTGGCCACGCCCACCCAATTGGCAACACCCAGCCAATGGACCACACCCACCCGACACTCGACGATGCATAAGTGGGTTTTGGGTTGCAGTTTGGGCACTCGGTCTCTAAAAGGTTCGCCATCACTGTAATATACCATATCCCAAACTATCTGATTGTTTATATCTTCAGGAATCTAACCAAATAATTTTTTAAGGAATTTGAATCACTTTTCATTGACTTTGCTGATTTTTAGATTCCTAGAAATTGTTGTGATAGCTGCAGATACCATACCTAACTGAACCATCACTTTACTTATTATTTTTCAAGGCCTCTTGTTTTGGGAATAAGTCCATGCAACCTGGCTTTGCTTGCCTCACTGCCAGCACAATCCAGTCCATAATTCATTCCTTGTATTTGCCCTGTTCCCCAAAACATTTGCAAATCATTGAGAATTAGAGCAGGGGTCCCCAACCCCCGGTCCATGGACCGGTACCGGGCCACGGCATGCCAGCAACCGGTCTGCACAAACAAGCACAGCCCCATCTGTGGGATGCAGGCAGCACACAAAACCACGCCCCCTCCGGTCCGCGGAAAAACCTCTCTCCACGTAACCAGTCCCTGGTACCCAAAAGGTTGGGGACTTCTGAGTTAGAGAGCAGTGTTCCCAACCTTGAAAACTCTTGGGCAGTGAGCCGTCCCTCCATCCCTCCATCAACAAAGCTCCTCCACACGATCCCTTTGTTGTTGCATTAAATTCACAAGTGAAATCTCTTGCTCTCCATATCTGTTGGGCTTTTTTCTTCAACTGGATCATTAGATAAGCTCTCAACTTTGTTCCTTCCTCTTCCCCTTTGTTCTCATCCTATTTCTCTTTCTACTAGTTTTTATCTGAAGACCCATATATTTTACCTTCCCATTTTTTTGAATTGAAACCAACACTTTTACCTTTTATCTTAGTAACAACCCCTTCTTTTATTTTCTCTTTCTTCTTATGTTGGCCATCTTTATAGCTAAGGTATTACCATGTTCTTCTCATTCCTCTACTCTTCTAGCCATGGCATATAAATAAATATTGCTTGCAGCTCACCCTTCACCTACTGCAGCTCAAAATTTCGATTGAGGACCTGGTCACATAGAGCACAGAGTACAGAAAAAAAATATATATCTCCCTCTGCTTTCTACCACATGGACCCTATTTTTTCCCAACCATACTTCCTTCATAGGTTTAAATACCTGCCACATGGGCAGCCAGCTGACAGACCTGCTGCTCAGCTGCAGGCAATTATATTCTGGATTCTGCCCCTTATCCAGAATATCATTGAGCTCCTTCTCTCCCCACCCCCCAAAGTATTATAGAAGGGAAGGGAAGGGAAGGCAAAAAAGAAACCCTCCAGGCAATGAGCAAAAAACATTATTTGCATAAAATGAGTCTTAAGTCTCTCTTGCTTTCAGCTGCACACTTGACAGAGAAAAAAAAAACATAAAATGCTCTGTGTTGCACATAAAAACCTCCCTCCCCTCACCCTTCAAAAGATTTTAAGACTACAGTTGCTCCATTATGAGAGGAAAAGATTTAATTATCTATCAATCCTGAGAAAGACCTGAACATATTACACTGTGATGGGCCAAACGTGAGTCTCAAATACTGTATTAGGCTAAGATTTTATAGATGAGCATACAAAATATCTTGTGACCCCCAAATATTCCTGACCCCAAGCCATGTTTGTAGCTTAGAATCACTATTTATTTACGGGAGATAATGACATATCTAATACATGCAGAATCAGTGATAGTTAATTATTATTTGTGCTCTACATATAATAGTTTTCAACTATCCCATAATCAGCCATGATAGGATTGAAAATGACTTTTAGGTGAACTTTTAAGCTTAAATGATACATACAATCACTAATTAATACAGGATCTTCTGGACAATTCCCTCACACTAATGCATTAATCGGATAATTAAGAGAAATAGCAAATTCATTAAGCTAGAACAGTGGTGGCGAACCTATGGCACGGGTGCCAGAGGCGGCATTCGGAGCCCTCTCTGTGGGCACATGTGCCGTTGCCCCAGCCTTGCCTCTCCCCATGACACCCTTCTCACCAGCAGTCCTCCTGGAGAAGGGTCGCCCCCAAGCGTGGCCCACGCAGAGCAGTGCAGTCAAGGACAAGGCAGCCAGGCAGCGTAGACAAGATTCTGCCCTCACGCCCCATTGCGCATAGTTGATGCTGCGGGGCACGGGCAGAGGGTGTGGCTGCCATGGTGCTGCTGGGCGACCTGCGGCGGACCCTGGAGGCGATGAGTGGCCCTGCGGGCAGGCAGGGTGGGGGCGGAGCAGGGATGGAGCAGGGGGGAGTCGGGGCGGGGCCAGTTTTGGGGCACTCGGTCTCTAAAATGTTCGCCATCACTGGGCTAGAAATTTGGACATTATGAGTTCTACTCCTGCCTTAGACACGAAAACTGGCTGGGTAACTTTGGGCCAATCACTTTCCCTCAGACCATAACATCAGGCTCAGATGACAAGCCAGTTGATCAAATCCTGGCACAATTAGTGGATCAACACTTGGCTGATTTGAAAATAGTGCATGCTGTACCTGCAGGAAAAACACAAGATAGGGAAGAAGAAAAAAAAGGAACTAGCACAATGCTTCATAAAGATTCAGAACTGTTGAAATACACAATGGGCCTATCAATACTATAATTTTATCAGGCACAGAGAGGGGTTAGGAAAAACATATAAGGCAAAATAAAGAATAACAACTCCCCCCCCCCCAACCAATCAAATTGATGCAAGAAACACGAATTTGCAGACACTTTTTTATTTGCTGGAGGATTTTGTTAAAATCCAGGATATATTGTCACTCTAAAAAGTTTCTAAAGAGGAGAAAGTGAGCACCTGATTTCTGCAAACAAAGAGCTTATCTGCATCTCTCTCTCTCTCTCTCTCTCTCTCTCTCTCTCTCTCTCTCTGTGTGTGTGTGTGTGTGTATTCACACACACACACACAGTTCTGCATATGGAAGAGACTGCTTTCCATTGGGTTAAGATTATTAAATGTAGTTCAGTCAAATGAATATTAATTTATTGCAAAGGGGCAGGGAAGACTGAAAAATAGATAGCAATCACATATACAATACAGAATAATTTTCCTTTCCCTTGACCTACCATATTTGACTTGGATCTGCCTCCCCATCACATCTGGTGGTGGTAGTTTTGTTTTCCTTTTTTCCTTTCCCCTCTAATTTAATTTAAGACAATATACTGTATTGTATTCGCGCAGTTTCCTGCCTCTTTCCGTTTTGGGGCATGCCAATGGTTGTGGAACAATCCAAATACAAAATGTATGTTTTTAGAAAGGCTAAACCGGCGATTATGGAAATACAATTAGAGGGACTACAACAGGGCAGTGAAATCACACTGGATTCCCATCCCCATTGTAGACATCACAGCAATTTATTTTTGGGAAGAGGCTCGAGGTTCATTTTCGCGGATGTATGCCGTTGTAAACTTATGTTTCGGAGAAACGTGAAATATGTCAGACCGTCCTAACGCAGTCAGATTTGCTAACCGTATGGCAGAGGAACACGTATTCGGGACTATTGCGTCTATAGGGGCAACGGTGCTATCTGCTGCACCCCGGAGTTATTTGCGATATAGGTATTTTACCGTTGATCGTGGGAATGTCCCCAACGTCTGTGGTGTGCGTACGTAGGCAGGTTTTTTTTTTTCCTTTTCCGGAAAAAACGGAGCTTAAGCTTTGCAAACCCACAGGTGTTTCTGGAAGCTTCTGGCAACTGAGGCATGGAGGGACCCTGGCATTGCACAGCTCGGTGCCAGAGCCACTGTCCGTTTCGTATCTGCTAGAGGAACAAAAACGGCTTGGAGGCCTCCAGGTGGGGGTCTGGCCTAGAAGGCGGCTTTCACCGGCAGGGGTCTCGCAGGGACAACGCGTTCCCATGTGCAGCTCCAAGGGGCGGAGAACGGGGCGGGATTCAGTGGAAATTTCCACTCGCTGCAGTAGTATTTGCGGCCACGGGTCTAAGAGGAGGGGAAAACAAAAGGGAGAAAAAGGCGGGACAGGCATAGCTTTCGGGAAGACGAGACAGCAGCAGCAGCAGCAGCAGCAGGCCTGCTTTCGAAGCGCGGTGCTGCTCGGCTGCCTTTCCTATGCAAGGGGCGAGTTGCAAATAAAGGGTCTCCCGGCATAATTTGGGACCAACGCGCCTGAGAAATCCTTTCCCCCTCTCCCAAGTCCTGGGAGGGAGGAAGGGGAAGAATAGCACCGCCTGACGCAAGCAAAGAGGCGGACCCGCCGGGTGCGCATAGCACCGACCTCTTTTAAACACCCGCCGCCTGCTCGTTACAGCTGGGGACGAGGGAGGCGTCGGATCTACGCTCCGTGCTTGCACCGCACTCCCCTTGTCTGGTGGGGGCCGAGCTGCTCCTCTTTCGCCAAAGATGCCCCGTTATGAGTTGGCTTTGATCCTGAAAACCATGCAGAGGGTGAGTGGGGTGTGGACGTTGTGTGATTGTGTGTGCGCGCGTGTGTGTGTGGTTAAACAGCCCCTGCCCTTTTCGGTGCCCTTGCTCTCTTTTCTCCGCCAGGTATCCCTCTTCTCTCGGTGGGGCCCGATTCTGACGCCCTGCGCTCCTCGGGCCGCCCGGCTTTCCAAGCCTTCCTTCTGAAGCTCGTGCGCGCCCCGGCTTTCTTCCCAGCAGCCCTGAACGTCCGACCATGTGTCCTTCCTTTCCGCACCAACGTGCGGGCTCTGAAAGGACGGGCTTTTTTTCCCGCCATTGCTGGCTTTTCTTTCATTATCGTCCGGCGAATCGCTTCGGGAGAATGAGCGAGCCGCTTTGGCAATTCAAACGACTGAACTGTTCTTCTGCTTCTTAAGCGATTTCTCTTTCCCCCCCCCCTCCAATCTTCCCAAACGCTGAAAGCGCACGTGTGGTCTAGTTGCTTTTTTTTTTTTTTTTTTAAAACAAAACGCGGTTAAAGGAGCCGCTCTTAGTCGTTTAGGAAAAAAGTGGCAGATTTAAATTACGGTATTTTTTTTTTTCCTTCAGTAGCTCTTGGGTTTTTTGCACGGGCCGCGCGTATGCAGGGGCTTCCCTTTATAAACGCAAAACCCGGTCCGCTGCCTGATGAAATGGTACCAAACATTTGTGGAAGCAGCATGTAGGCATTTCTGAATGAAAGGCCAAAGTATTAGGATCTTGCCGCTGAAGAGTTCACAATCTGCAAAAAAAACACACACCTCTGCCATAATGTCAGATCAGACGTTTAGATCAGAGTGTCAGCCGATCTAAAGAAACAAAGATTACCTTCTTAAAGGAAGCATGTGCTCAAGAATAGTTTTTATCAATCATCTCTGAGTTCCACGTTTAGATAGAAGTCTTCCAAATCATTACTGTGTATATTTAAAAATATAAATAATTCAGTGTTATCTTGTAATGAACAAACAACATACGGAAAGAATTGCTTTAATTTTGTCCGCATTTACATTTAGAAAAATCAGTCCAAAAGACACTATTGTACTGGCGTATTGCTAGTCAGATGAAACTGTGTTCTGATGGATTGATTTTGCCGAGAACATACATTTTCTGTGGATAAAAATATCTGAATCAGTTCAGATAGAAATACAATAGAAGCAAGAGCGTAAGCTATCTAGTGTAAAATATTTATAGCTATTTTAATGGAAGAAATTAAAGAACAACCACCCTTTGTCTTGACAGTTTAATGTATCCTGTAACAAACATGGTATTTAAAAGTGGTATATTTAAGAAGGTATATAAAATAATTTAAATCTAGTTGCAGTTTATTAAGATTAAGATATATTTCTCATTCCTATTTTATGTCCTTCCAGAAATACGTGTACTTTATGTACTTGCCCAGAAGAGGGCAAGAGAGCTAAACTATTTTCTGGTTAGAGTACAGTTTTTTTCCATTCATGGGAAAGTGGCTCATTGACTTCACTTGTCTGTGAAGAAAAACTGCACACTTAAAATTAACTCTACAATTAATACGTGTTATTTCAAATTACTCAGGGAATTTCATAGTATTTTTCTATATAGCAAATACAATTTCCCTCAGTACATGTTTGAAGCTATTGATTTTCTCCTTTTGGTTGAAAGTATTTAGATATATAAATTATGTATTGGGAAATAGCAAAGGTTGTTAATAAGGAAGTTACAAAAAGATACTGCTTTACCCAGTATATAAAGGAATAGAACACAAATGACGAAAAGTATAGTAATGCACTAAACAGTTAATTTGATCAAGCACTACAAATTTTTATATCACTTATTCATTTGGAATTTTTCCCAGTTCTGTGTCTTAGAAATGCGAGCTTTCATTTATGAACTGGTTATTGTTTATGGCCAAAATTGAATTCTTTTTGAAAAATTGTTTCTTAGCTGTATTCATTGGTTGCTTCTTTGAATTCTTCTGTTGGTTGATTGGCTTGAAAAATGGACAATGATTTTTAGGCATTGACAGTGTGCTTTAAAAACTGACTTTATGAAATGTAATTAATTAGTCGTACGTGCTTATGCAAGATACCAGTTGCAGGTATTCCCCGATTATGACCATAATTAAGCCCAAAATATCTGTTGCTAAGCAAGGCAGTTATTGCAACCTTTTTGCCACAGTTGTTAAGTGAATGACTGCAGTTGTTAAGTGAATGATGTGGTCATTAAGCAAATCTGGCATCCTCCATTGACTTTGCTTTTGGGAAGCTAGCTGGAGAGGTTACAAGTGGTGATCACATGAAGCCAGAACAATGCAACTGTCATAAATACATAAAAACTGTTGCCAAATGCCCACCTTTTGATCATGTGACCATAGGATGGCTGCAACGATCATAAATGTGAAAACCAAAAGTTACTTTTTTCAGTGCTGTTGTATCTTTGAACAGTCACTAAATGATTGGTTCTTAAGTCAAGGACTACCTGTACCAGCAGAATGATGAGGTTATGATTATGTAATCGGCAAGTTTCATTGAAAGGCTGTTTCAAGAGTTCAGAGAGCACACTATATATGAGTAGCATCAGGGTATATATATATATATAATTAGAGCAACAAATAAAGACCAGGGAATGAATTGCAGTAAATTACAGTAGTACCTCTCCATGTATCTTTGATTGTTCAATTATATATTGTATGTATATGGATTTAAAGATCAATCTTTTTATCTTTTTTATTGGGATGTAATTACTCTTTATACAGGCTGTAGACCAGGGGTGTCAAACTGCCGGCCCACGGGCTGGTTGCATCATGTGAAGGCCATGCCCACCCCAGCAAGGCGAAAAAGTCTTGATAAGTCGCGACATGTCACGTGACGCGGCGAGTTTGACACCTATGCTGTAGACCATTCAATAGACCAATGTCAGTTTATGTTGGAGCTAATTGATTTTAGTTGACATTAAGGAGTGGGTAACTGTTGGCAGGACCAAATAAGGTAAACTGTATGTGGGGTGGGGTACTTCTGTATTAACAGTGGTTGAACTATTAAGACTGCTACTTCTGTTTAGTTTAAAGTTCCCTGTTGACAGTAGGGCTGTATGAATAGTTTCTGAACTTTGGTTAAAAGATGCATGAAAGTAATCTGTAGTACTGATAATTGATAAGTTTTGCTGAAAAAAATGATCTATGTACTTCAAAACAGGTCCTCTCTAACAGACTAGAAGGTCAATCATAATGAACCACTGATCTGTTGTAAAGTATCAGTGAACTCAGCTCGAGGGAAACTTGATTTTATCACTTACGAAAGAATATAATGCTAAACAGAACTTATTCTACTACAGCAAAGTATTTCTGTTTTTAAGTAATCCCTCTTTTTAAGCAATTTGCCTTCTTATTCAAAATATCTTTTTCTTTGAAGTGGTAAACTGAAAGTTAACAGGGTCCATAATTCTAATTTTAAAAATTGATAAGTTTAATAGGACGCACTTTGAAAAAAAGATCAGAAAGAATCTGGTAGCATCTTTTTCAACTAATACTTTTTAACTAATCTTTAACATACATTAATCAGAAAAGGTACTACTAATCACATGACCCCAGAATACTGCAACTGTCATAAATATGAGTCAGTTGCCAAGCGTCTGAATTTTGATCATGTGATCATGGGGATGCCGCAATGGTCATAAATGTGTTATAAATGTTACTAAACTCTTATAAGTCATTTTTTTCAGTGCCATTGTAACTTTGGTCACTAAATGAACTGTGTTGTAAGTCGAGGACTACCTGTAATGTTTTTATTTGGTTATGTATTACCTCACTTTGTATGTACTGAATTTGGATGTTAGAGGATTGGAATATTGTAGTTTATTTGCGAGGTACATAATCTTTAGTTCTGCCAGACATGTAGTGGGTGGAATAATTAAATATCTTCCAGGTGTTCCATACTTTATACTTGGTTACCATGAATAATGCATTCCATTGGATTATCTTGTAAATTGTCTTTGATGTTCATTAATTTAGAATGACTACTGTCCCATTGTGTTGGCTTTTCTAATTTAGGTTGATTAAGTAATAATATTTAAGATATCTGATTCAAGCCTCACCTAAACTCTTATTCATATTTTTTTTCTCTATAGATATGTACAAAATGGTCCCTACAAACAAAAATCTAAACTGAAGCGAGCATGTTCCATGTTGATTAGTGTTTTGGGAGGATGGTGTAATGTCAAGGACATTAGGGCAAAGTGGTAGCTAAAAGCAGATAAGGAAAGGGAAGATTCAGAAATTGTGTGGGTGATTGGATGTGCTATTCCCGAAGCCAGGGATTTTAGTTGTGGTAATGGCAGATGTTGAAAAGAAGATGCTGCAGGTGGTTTGGTGGCTGCAACAGATATCTACACCCAGGGCTTTTCAACCTTTTCACCCATTGTACCACTTTTAGGATATGGCAATATCCGAGTACCACCAGTCGCCTAGCAAGGTGTCAAAAACTTGATGACCCCCCAAAAAGGAAAAAGTGATAAAGTACAGGTAGTCCTCGATTTACAACAGTTCACTTAGTGACTGTTCGAAGTTACAATGGCACTGAAAAAAGTGCCCCCCAAGCCACAGCCGAGCAAGACACCTGCCTGCCCACCTGGCGGCGCTCTTCCTCCTGTCCGAGGTTTTCATTGTTGTGAGCATTTCTGTTGGGGATTGGCAGCGGGGGTGGGGTGGGGGGTGTTTGGTTTTTATTCCCCCCGTCTGCTGGGTGGTTGCAGCAGGTTTTGGTCACTTCACATGACCCTGGGACACTGTAACCGTCATAAATATGAATCAGTTGCCAAGCATCTGAATGTAAATCACAAGACCCTGGAGATGCTGCAACATGCTGATCGGCGCTTCTTCTGGGCTCAGCAGAAGTGCCAGGATCAGCGCTGAGCTCCAGCTAGAGCCTGGCGTCGATCCTGGTGCTTCCGCTGAGCCCTGATAGCCCTGCAGCTCCAGCCATCTCTCGCTCAGGCTTGTGTGGTGCTGCCACTGGTTCAGCTCATCCCCT